ATACATACATACATACATACATACATACATACATACATACATACATACATACATACATACATACATACATACATACATACAGCTATGATTCCTCATCCCTCACGATCATCAGAATCACGGTCAGGTCAGTGTTTTCTTTCTGCCCCCGAACTGTTGCCACTTACGGTTGCCCCCATGGTCTCGGCTATTCTTCCTTCTTGTATCATTTCCAAAAAATATCAGCCAGACATGTATTTTCTTTAAAAAAAATGATTTGGTTCCTATGGTGTCCCAGCATTGAATACGGAGCAGGTTCAGTCTGAAAAAAAAACTCGGCTGACGTGATGCTGCCGAGATCATCTATCGAGTGCCGATTGGTCTATAAAATATAGGTCTAGCCCTGTGTACCCAAGACACTTGGGAGCGTGAAATGGTCCTTTGCTTTACAGTTGCATACTTTCAACATCATGCTTCGCGCCTTTAAAATCAACACTTTATTAACAGTTGATGACTGTTAGCTCCCATAACTATAGTTCTACATTTACACATCATTTATATGTAAGTAAAAGTAAATATTAAAGTTAAGGTCAGTTTTTCCCTCCTTTAGGTATATTGGGAAAATACGTCTAAACCTATATTTTTATAGACCAATCGGCACTTGTTGATGTGATCAGTATCACGCCTGCCACCTTTACTTCCCAGGACTACACCTGGTACCTATTCAAAGTTGGATCGACCTGGGAGTCAATGTCATTTTTGATCTGCGTGAGTCTGTGACATTATTATTTTGACATTTTCCGGAGAAAGCGGTCTGTTTGGTGTAAGATTTTGTCTCCTCTTCCAATGACCTGTAGTTTGCGTGCTTTTTCTCTGGCTTCTGGAGCTCTTATCAAATGACATATACGTCCATTCATTCCTTGGGATGAGACCTTAGAAAACTGTATTTTACAGCTATGGAAACATGTGCACCGTCTACTCTATGACAAACCAAAAGTGTGAGCAGGAAACTCCACACAGATTTGTTTGAGGTACACCATCAGATTTAAAACTTGAGATCTCGCTGAACAGTGTTAATATTGTTGTTGTTACTAGCGGTAACAGAGCAACCGCTAACGCTTCTTTTAGAACAACTACTACTACTACTACTACTACTACTACTACTACTAGTAGTAGTAGTAGTAGTAGTAGTAGTAGTAGTAGTAGTAGTAGTAGTAGTAGTAGTAGTAGTAGTAGTAGTTGTTGTTGTTGTTGTTGTTGTTGTTGTTGCTGTAGTAGTAGTAGTAGTAGTAGTAATAGTAGTAGTAGTAGTAGTAGTAGTGTAGTAGTAGTAGTAGTAGTAGTAGTAGTAGTAGTAGTAGTAGTAGTAGTAGTAGTAGTAGTAGTAGTAGTAGTAGTAGTAGTAGTAGTAGTAGTAGTAGTAATAATAGTAGTAATAGTAGTAGTAATAGCCATAGTAGCATTTAACACTGATGCCGTTGTTGTTATTGTTTTTTCGTCTCTGGTGTTATTGTTGTATGGTTTGAAACTTTACTGTCATCATTAGGTGCCAAACGTGCTTTTTATGTCAATATTTAATTGACAGAACAAATGTAAGAAGGCCTCTTTGAATTTACTACTCATCTGGTAATAAATATAAATGTTTGCAGAGGAATTGATGGATTCCGTGAGCATTCCAATCCCAGCACAAACCAGTCCCACATTCAGATGCTTTCCACCGATGTTTATGTCAGGTTCGATCGCCAGAGCCAACAGGGTTAGAGTTATAGGAATTGTGCAGGAAATGTACAGCGCGGAAATCATAACAACCATCCTGGCGACTTTGTGACTCCGTGTGGAAACACCAGCTGCTGAAGAATTAGTTGAAGCATTGCGCCATTTTGTTTGTTGCTGTAGATTGTAAACCAAAATAGCAGTACAGATGCAGATGAGAATAAAAGCCAGAAATGGTACAATAAAACTGTTAAGTGTGAAGTATATCATACTGTAGAACTCCCCATCTGCGACAGTGATAAGTCCGAGCTGAGTTCTGTTCTTTGACGGTGAAAATTTCATTCCCAGTTTCTGGACGAAATATATTGGAACACCACAGAAGATGATGAATACAAAGACGCATACGATAGCAGCCAGCATTCTTTTGGGAGTGATGATTTGCTTCACCTGAGGGATAGTAATTAGGAACATGGTTGTAAAAAACACATCATATACATTTGCATTCACTCCAGCTCCATTAAATTGCCTGTGTACTGAAACATATGGATTGGGAGAAAGTATTTTGTATCTTCAGGGAATAATTTACTTTCAGAAAAGTAATTTAAAAAAAAAAAGGAAATGTAATACATGTGGAGAAAAATGATATAAATAATGAAAACAAAGAATCAGGTTTTCCAACGTAGCTCTTCTCGATGATTGATTACACACTGAGACTGGTCACCGTATCAAAGCATCAACTGAGGACGCTTGAAGGCCTACGGAATGAAGTCAAACGGGTGAAGCTGATATGTACTAGAGATGCCTCAGTAGTATGAATGCAAGGAACTTATCACGAACTAGCCCGCACGACGAGAATTCCTTTCCTTTTATGAAGCGGCGGGTCGCACGGTTTGTCCTATTCTGTGGGTTGGGGCGGGGGATATGAGATAGGTTAATTCAGTGTTCGCTCGCCGTATTTAATGTTTGTGGGTGATTGCGTTGTCGTGTCTCTTTGAGGCGCCCCAGTCGCCTATGTACAAAGAAGTACTGCATGAGAAAGCGACAAACGCGCGACTACTTGTAAGTAACGACACTGGAATGTTTATGTATTTCTACTTTGCTTGGCTGTGTCCTTTCTCTGCCCCCCCCCCCCCATCCTTTTCCCCGAAAAATAAGCCAATGACAATGAACGTAGTATTACAAAAACATCGCAGTTTCCATACTTCCGAAGCGTCGGGGAGTATCACAACATGGAAATAAACACGAAAGTGAGCTGTGACAACCCGAGAAAAGAAAGAACTGGTCAACCTTTGAAATAATGAATACATGCCATTCCTGCAAAATAGGACAGGTCGTGTTTCTCGCCAACCCATGAATAGGAAGGGGAGGAACTCTTAACGTGGGGGTTGCTTCGTGATAAGTACCGAACGTAATTCTTCTTTACGCAGACAACTATAGCAGACAAAAATCAGAGTAAAGGCAGACAGTAAAGCACATCTTTAGAAAGGCGGTGAAGGCAGAACAGTTTCCGCTGGCTAGCTTACCAGCTGCACACACCTGTCGTTATTGTAATACTTCCAAAGCATTCAGGGAAAGGGCATTCTATTGTTAGAGTGGCAGGCATCACTTCTTATGAATTCGATAGTTACTGTTCTTTAGATTATTTTTAATGTCAAGGAGGTGTGCCATAAAACGAAGAGATAGACATATTGGCTGGTGCTGCAACTCTAGATGGGAAAGTGATGTATGAAAAATTAGGCGTGGGAAAATCTCTTTAGGTGCACGTGAATAATGCAGACGCGCAGACTGATCATTGCAGAGTGGAAAAATTGGAGAAATATGGACTGACTACGGCATCTGACCAACGCTCTACACACATACAGAAGGCAAGAAGGACATTCAATAAGACTGATAACGATAACATAGGCATAGAAACTCTGAGCTGAACACTGAAGATGAAAGCCAATGGCGAAAGGCAATGGAAAAATCTTTAGTGCAAGGCAGCCTAGCATACAGCATCACAACATATAGCATGACAATGCAGCTGTAGACGATAACTGCAGCTCTCCTGTGGTTAGAGAACAAGATGCATACATATGTGGTTATTGTAACACACTCTGAAAGCAAGCAGAGAAAGGTGAAGACAAGGATGCTTCGAGCAGAGTGGCAAGCTTCACTGGAGAGGTCACAGGTAGTAAGTATACTTTGGATCTTTTCTTCCCTCGGGGGAGGGAAGGAGAGTACCCTTCGTGGATGGGATCCAGAAAAAAAATTATCCACTTGACAGGTTAAGCTTTTTGGACCTTGATTTCTTGTGGACCTTGATTCCTTGTGGACCTTGATTCCTTGTGGACCTTGATTCCTTGTGGACCTTGATTCCTTGTGGACCTTGATTCCTTGTGGACCTTGATTCCTTGTGGACCTTGATTCCTTGTGGACCTTGATTCCTTGTGGACCTTGATTCCGTGTGGACCTTGATTCCTTGTGGACCTTGATTCCTTGTGGACCTTGATTCCGTGTGGACCTTGATTCATCTTGTATTTTTTTTTTTACGAATCTGCTCGAAGAATTGAATACAAGCCTATGGATACAAATAATAACCGCAATTAGGAAAATGTTGAATGTTGAATTAGGAATCGACATCACAGCACTCGTGACACTCCCATAAGTGCAAACATGTCCAATTGTGTCTTCAGGTTGCGCCATCCTAGACCTTCCTCTTTTCAGTCTGTGACCCTTAGCTCTACCCAGGGCTTCGTGCAGGAGATGCTTCTTGCCTGCAGCTACTCTGAAATATGACTTTGTCAGCAGAACTTTGAGCAGTGCACACAAACACACACACACACACACACACACACACACACATATATATATATATATCGCATACATACTAACGATATATCTCTTGTACATCCAGTAATAACACGCATGGCTTCATTCTGTTTGAGTTTGAGTTTCATCAGTTGACTCTTTGACATGGAAAGCATTTCAAGTCCATAAGTCCATAATCTGTGACTGGCACAATGTCATGCTGGAACATTGTGAACAGTATTCTTTGTTCTGTGTTCTTTGCTGCCATAATCTTGAGAGCATTGAGTCCGTTTTGGCATTTCACAGCAGCTGTCTCCACATGATCCCTATAGGACTATCTTCTATCGAAATTGATACCCAGGTACCTCAGTTTGCTTTCACTTTTGATTAATAAGGCTTGAAACATTAGCTCTTACAATTCTATTGTCCAGAGAGCACTACAAAACAATTAGGTAAAAAGAGCATGAAACAAAGGTTACGAAGAAACAGATTGCAAAAGAATAATATACAAATATACTAACCTTTAAAGGCACCAGCACACATAAGCATCGTTCTATGGTGATGATTGCAGTAATCCAGCTTGTTATACGAGTACAAATCACATGGGGCATAGACGCTACTGGAAAAGACACTTCTCTAACATCAAACGGCAAATCGACTTCAGATAAGGCAGGTGTGAACATAATGTTTATGAGGCAGGACGTTGCAAGGCAACCGATGTCTGAGACTGCCAAACCTAGAGGTGAATTAAATGGGCTTAATTAACACTGTATGGTATTACTAAATTAATCATGTATTATCTATACAGTGAAATTAGGCGGTAATAAATCTCTAATACTCTTTAACTAGCCGTTCTGTGGGGAGGCAATCGAGCCATCGTGCAAACATGTCGATACTCACGACTTTAACTTTTGGCTTCATTGCGGAGGCAGCTATCTAACTGGACAGATGGCATTAAAGGATGGGCTAACAGGAGTTAAAGGTCGTTAGTATTAATTTCACAGCACCAAGTTGTTGGGGTTTTTTTTTTTTTGTTGTTGTGTTTTTCTGTCTCCCACACCGATGCTGGCGTTAGTGAATCCAAAGCGCTGCTTCCATTATGTCTAAGTTTTATTAGCTCTCTTTAGTTCACTATTTGGTGGACTTGACACATATCTAAACCCTCTGACCTACTGTCTCTTCATGTAGTTTAGTATAAGCTCCGTCTCAACTTCTATCCTGATATCGTCGTTTCTGATCCTGCCTCTTCTAGCTATAATTATGATTCGTCGTAGTCACTTCATTTATGTTGTTACTATTTTTCGTGTTTCTTTTGTTTCAAAACTTCCCTTGTGGATTTAGAGCCAGCCATCTTGTATTGAAAACCCTCTGCCTCCCTAACATGTATGTCGTAAGAGTCCACCGATTCGGGGTTTCTTCGAAGTCGGAGTGTATCTGCCTGGGAATCAAGGATTCAACAGTCTACAAATAAATAAGCTAAATCTGCAAAATTAATTTAAACAAAACTCAAGTTCTGTAACAAGAGTGAAGTCCAGAAGTGACAACCTAAAATCTTTGTCGTAGTTTACAGCTAACGAACATAAAGACAAATGCGGAATAAAAATTTCTTAAAGCAGTTTAGGTGTACAGTGATTTATCACCTCAGGATATAAAATGCAAGGCTTCCCTGTTCAGCTAAGGCTTGATATTTCATACCCTTTGCAAGATAGGCGACTTGCTTTGCACAGACTACCCTCTTTTGAAACTAATTAATCTTCCAATATTTTATAGCTTTTCATGTGACTTGGTGGTGGGTACTGGTTGTTGGAGTACTTTGCCCTTTTTTACTACTATGTAATTCTTGTCGAGAAAAGCTCCGGTAGAAACGTTGACTTCTCTTTTGATCTTACTTTGTTCCCCTTTCGTGAGCTTTTTGGTCACAGTTTATGGTAATAATTTCTTGATTGTAGTTACATCTGCTTTTGCAGCGAATGTACATAAGTGAATATACACATCACTCCAGTATACCAGGATTATCTGCACAGGAGACGGTGAAAGTGTTGCTGGCCCGATCAAAGTGAGTACCCCATTATGTGTCTCATTATATTGACTAGTCATTACTGGCAAAGAAACTAAGTTGCCCTGTATGACGGACAGTTGGCACCTCCTCAGAAAGCCTCGACCAAAATGGGCATGGACAGGAAACAGCCAGTTCAAAATCAAGAAGCGCCATTCTGGGCTGAATAGCCAAAACACAAGCTATTTAGAAAGAATACCCTATAAAAACTAAGAAAACACTGCCCTCATTAAATATGAAGATCGCAGTTATAACCAACATCTTCTGGCAATTTCGTAATCTTAGTTTCAGCTTTATAGCAAACGGTTCATCCCAAAGTCGGCTCCGCTCTTGTACTAACTAAAACACACAACATGTCTATCACTGTTTTTTGTGGAAAAATTGACACAGACCGCAGACGGCGTTCTAGGCATAGGGCAGCCATCAGAAGTGCTAACACAAACATTCTGACATTACAAATGCAGCTCATCATCGACGGAAGCAACAGTTACAAACAAATCGGCTGTTGCACACGCAATCAATTTTAATCATATAAGGCTACATCCAAATCAGTGGCAACAGGCCAGGAGCCATTTTCTGAATATACAGTTCACAACACCTCGCTTGTCACAGTCGAAAATCATTCCAATCTAAATCCGCAGCTTACTTATGTCGCACATTCACTTAACTCAGTAGCTGGACGACAAAACGATATCATTTTAGTCTACAAATGGATGAAACTCAACGACCACTATATGTCAGAAGCAAAAAAATCTGCCTCGACTAAAAAACGGACTATCTTGACTGTTTAAGCTGTGTAAAACTGATGCTTTAATCAACGAAACAAGTATTCCAGGATTGTGGCTGAATCCGATCTGTTTCTGCATCTTTCTGTTCTTGTAATAAGTGAATATTATTTTCAAAAGAAAATAAATGAATAAATAAAAAATAAAACAATACAACGAGATACGGTGTCTAGGAAAGCCATTGAATTCGAGACAGAAAAAAACCCCAATAATATTAAGTACTAATAATTTAGTCATCATGCAAGAATACAGGTATATGAGTTACCAGTACAGACGTTCCACTGAAAAAGGCATTATGTGAGAGCAAAAGGGAGCCGAAGAAATATATGCTCATAGTGGGCATTTTTTTTTTCTAGAAGAGTCGGTACCCACCTTATGGTTCAAAGGCTAATACAATGTATCTTATCTCACAGTACCTCCTTCGAAACCACTAAGTCGTCTTGTCTCTGGCCGAAATAATAACACCATCCGGTAATCCCGTGCAGCGGGGAAGCAGCCCTGAGCTTCATGAACTCAGGTGGGCCCACCTCCGAATACGTTTAGGAATCGTGGGCCGAAACGTGTGTCGAAAGAGGATAATTTCTACTGATGACTGTAGATCCCGGCTGTACTTGCTCCCTGTGAGTTTATTCTTATTGTACGTGGCTAGCCCACAAGACTACCAGGAAAGACTGGTGACTATCGGGAAAGACCTTTTGACACCTATGGAAAGACTGGCCCCCCGGTATCGCCGGGGGGATAAACTGACATCTGGAGACAGATGTCGACTGTGGACCGGGTTGATCACACCTAACACAGTATAATACCTCCGATTTCGAACAACCATAATGAAATATGCCCCCAGGGCCCTCCGAAAGGGGGGGGGGGGGAGAATGAAGGGCCCAATCTGATTGATACCCTCGTTGATGACTTTGCTAGCCCCCGGACTGAGACACTCGCCCAACGTCCGGGCTGGCTCTGTACATGTGGGAAAAGCTTCACGGGGTTGCATGGTCTGAGAACGCATGCCGGAAGAATGAAATGCGAGGGTGCTCCACGCAGTAAACGCCGTCGCAAAACTACCACTCCTGTGGTAGTTTCTGAGTCGTCAGGGTACGACGGGCAGGGTGAACCCCACTCGCCCGGAGAGGCCCATGACGTCGACTGCGGAGGAGCACCTTTGATGATTTCTGAAGAAGTGCGTTCGAAGATCAGGTTTCCACCTGCGAGCGAGAAGGTGGTGTGGTGTAAGTTGGAGGCTACATTATGTGAGGTAATTAAACAAACTCTAAACAAGAAGTCGCTAGGCGACAAGCTTACTAAATTTGGTGATGTAATATATGAACACTGCTCCCGCGAGTTCGGGACAGTAGTAAAGGCACAGCCGGGTGCCAAGCAGAATATTAGCAGAAGGCAGAGGGACATTCTGAAGTGTCGGGCAGACAAGAATGCCCTCAGAAAACGGTTCAAAGCCGCTACGGGCAGCGAACGGGAGGGGCTGTACGAAGTGTGGGTGCATTTAAAGAACAAACACAGTGCCCTCTGTCGCGCCGAGAGTTTCTGTAACAACAGACGAAGAACCAAAAGGGAGCGAGAGAAATTCTTTAGGGACCCGTATCAGTTCGCCCGAGGTCTATTCGAGCAACCGAAGTCTGGGACTCTGGTTGTCAGTCAGGAAGAACTAGAGCTACATCTACGCAAGATGTACTCGGATAAAAAGAGGAGAGAGCCTCTCGATGACAATCCAGAGATCCTTAGCGGACTCAAACAGCCTTCGGTGCCGAAGGTACCATTTAAAATGGTACCTCCCCTTTGGTCTGAGGTTGAGGACGTTGTGAAAAAAGCCAGCGGCAAGTCTGCCCCAGGTCCGAACGGTGTTCCGTACGTTCTTTACAAGCGTTGCCCGAAAATCCTAAAAATGCTTCACGTCTTGTTGAGACAAGCGTGGATCCGCAATCACATATGTCCAGAGTGGTCAAAGGCAAATGGGGTCTACATTCCCAAAGAGCAGGACTCGAAGAGTCTTTCCCAATTAAGGCCCATCTCGCTGTTGAATGTTGAGGGTAAGATATTCTTCTCAGTCATGGCTCGCCGGCTCACACAGTATCTGATGACTAACAAGTACATAGATACGAGTGTTCAGAAGGGTGGCATTCCAGGCGTTCCTGGGTGCCTTGAACACGCGACCATGATTTGGGAGGCTATCCAGAGAGCCAAGCATGAGAGAACCGATTTGCACGTTATATGGTTGGACTTAGCCAACGCCTACGGGGCAGTCCCCCATAGGCTACTTTGGCGAGCCCTTCGCATGTTTCACGTACCGACACAGATCAGTCAAATGGTCGAGCAATATTTCTCTAAGTTCGCTTTGCGCTTCTCTACCTCGACGTTTACCACGAGGTGGACTGAGTTGCAGATTGGGATAGCTATGGGTTGTACGATCTCACCCATACTGTTTGTCATGGCAATGCAGATCATGTTAGACGGGGCGGCCGGCTACGGACTGGGCCTTCAAATAGGGGATCACTGGTTGCCGCCACTGCGCGCATTTATGGATGACACGACTATTATAACGGGCAGCGAGGAGTCTGCCCGCACGATCCTGAATAGATTGGACGCGGTGGTCCAATGGAGCGGTATGCAGTTCAAACCGCAGAAGTCGAGGAGTCTGTCAATCCATAAGGGCAAGGTTTCGGCGACCAGTTTTACGGTGGCAAGGAACAAGATCCCTACGGTTCTGGAGGAACCGGTGAAGAGCCTCGGTCGCGTCTACGATTCGAAGTTATCTGACAGAGCGGAAGTCCGGCGAATACATGAGTCACTGGCTACAGGCCTGCTCGCGATCGAGCGATGCAGGCTGATCGGAAAATTCAAGGTATGGTGTCTCCAATTCATGTTGATTCCGAAGCTTCTATG